GCCTGTGTGGCCTGCGTTGATGTGGGCGACTTCCCGGTGGGTTGATGTGGCGCGGGAAACCGCAGGTGGCTCTGGTGTAGTGGCTTTGGTGTTGAGGAAGGGAAGTGAAATGGCATAGTACTGGAATTGGTCGTATTGGTGAGTTGTGTCATTCCACTTAGCGTGGGTATATTGTCGGAAATCGGTGATCTCCTTGTAGGTGATGTTGCAGTCTGTGAGGATATTGGCAATGTACTGGTGGTGTGGTCGGTTGGGGTTGTCGAGTTGGGTGGCGTGGAATTCGAGCCATTCCAGGATTTGGTCTGCAGGTGTGAAGGTGTGAAAGTTGGGTGGAGGTCGCCAACGGTTGATTGGGCGACGAATGACGGCTGTGGTGGGATATTGTGAGGGGTCAGGGTTGGTGTGTTCGGTGTTTGGGCGTAGATCAATGGGTTGTGGTGGTGACCGACTGCGGGATGGTGTGAGGCTAGATGTGTAGGTGGATGTTGAAGGCGACCGCCGTCGCCGGGTTGTGCTGTGGTGTTTGGAGTGGCGGTGATGGCGATGTCGGCGGCGGTGGCGGTGGCGTCCTCTGTGGTGATGGTCGGACTTGCGTCGGCTCTTGTGGCGGTGACGGCGACTGCTGTGTGGTGGTGGCGGGGAAGGTGGTTGCGGTGCTGGTGAGGCAGTGGTGTCAGGTTTGTCTGGTGCTGGTAGTGAAGTTCCAGGTGCTGGTGTGGCAGATACCAGCGAGGGGGATGCTGAATGTTGGGATACGGTGGCTGGTGGAGGTGTGTTTTGGACTGGTAGTGGATTGTCCTGGGCAGTCGTGGGGATGGGTTGGATCGGTGGTGTTGGATCCGATGGTAGCTGCTGTTGAAATGGAGGTTGGGTTGGCGTTGAGGCATTGGTAATTTGTGGAGGCGGTGGCGGGGGCCCCGGTTGGAGTGAAGGCTGTGTGACAGGGGGAAAGGCTGAGTAGGGTTGCCAAACGCCCTGGGGGATGGCGCATTGGGGGTCTGTGGATGGATAATTGGCAGTCGCAGGCTGTTGCTGTGTTGGAGGGGGATGTGTCAGAGTAATGGGGGGAGGAAGTTCAGCCGGCGGCGTGGGTTGAGGTGGTGGCAACAGGTAGGACGGGGGAGGTGCTGCTGTCGGAAACACCGGAGTTGGATGTGTGGGTTGCGGTGGCACATGACATGGGTGGACAAAAGTCCAAGTGGATGGTGTGCCGTAAGTCAGTGCAGTGGCGGTAGGGGTGGGCAACAACGGTGGTGGTTGAAAAGGTTGTGGTTGTGGGTGAGGGTATGCCGATGGTTGTGTCGAGGGAAAAGTGGGTGCAGTTGATGTTTGTGGCATCGGCCATGTGGGTTGAGGTTGTGTGGTAGGTAATGGTGGTGGCGTGGTGTGAGCGTAGGGCCACGGAAACTGCATGTCGTGGTCGTAGCTATGGCGCGGCGCGGCGCGGCAGCAGCGGAGAAATGCCGAGTTGTATTGTCTTGTGGCTGGTCATTGTTGTTGAATGTGTCATCTCTGGTGTCAGTGGTGAGTATGTTGTAAGGTGGTGTTAAATGTAAGCTTGTTAGTAGGTGTGTGTTCATGCATCTCGAATTAAGCTGAAGAGTCGTAATGCTCATCCTTGAGTTCTGTCAATGAAAGAATCGCGGCAGCAACATAGCGAACAGGGAAACACGCACATGATTGGAAAACATGAAAAGAACACTGAATGCTGAAATCTGAGATCAGAAGTTCGGAATCTGAAGGATTCTTCAAGAACCGTTTTTTGGCCCGGCGGCCGGTGTGGCGGTTGATTCTGTGAGGGTGTCGGTGCCTTCCTGTGATGTTCCAGTGATCGGTGGAGCGTTGGGGTGGTTGCTTTCCCATGCAAAAACAGCGCCCCTGTGAAGGGGATCACACTCAGCACCCGAGTGGGACGGCTGAGCAGGACACACTTCGAACTTGGATTTTCAGTTAATGCAATTACCACGTTGGGAAGGAAGGCGATGGAACAGCAAGGTGGAAAGGTCAGCTGAAACAGTATTGTTGAACAATGTTAGCACTCGCAAGCGGCGGAAAAGCGAACCGGCTGCTCAGCTGCTGGGGACGAATGTTTATGGGGTGGAAATCGTGAAGAACCATGAAACAAAAAGTGGAAAAGTAGGGTCACAGCTTGTGGAGAACTCAGCAGGTACACACCGAGACGTCTCTCAGTGCTTCCCGTGCGTCAGGTAGCTTCGTTGGACACGGTCCCTGAACGCACGCCATGTCCCCCTGCCTGTGTGAAAGTGGTGGGGTGAGACCCTTTGTCCAGGGTGTGACACACACACACACCAACTGGTGTATTTATAAGTTCTTTTCAATTTTGTCAGGATATGCAGTTGTTGTTTCGCAAACAATAGCCACAAAAACTAGTCTGTACGCAAAATGGCCCTTGAGTTAACACTGCAAATTTTTCGATGTGTCGTCAATTGAACACATATATGTCGTACAAGCAGAAACCTATGTGTATAGTTATATATATATATTTGTCAAAATAAAATATTTAGTCTATATTAGACATATCAGCAAGATTTCAACAACCATGTGCGTTTCAACTTTTGGTTTAATTTGCTTAACATAGAGAAACATCAATACATTGTGTTTGATTGACAATACACATATTCATGTAAGTTTTTCATGCAAACAATTTTTCCTTCTTACAGTTGGATGACCACCTCCATTCCTTTCACCGATGGTTCCATATGTTTGTGAGTCAAGACCTGGAGGCCCCAACACCCCGTCTCACGACCCTCCCCGCCTGTTCGCCCGGAAACCCGTCGGCCGGTTCCAGTCCGGCCGCTCGGAGCGGCGTCTTCCGAACGCTCGGAGCGAGGCGGGCAAGGGCACCAACGAGAGCAACGAAGAGATAGCCACTCGGCCCCGGTTTTTCCGACGAGGAGCGTTGAGGAGCGTTGAGGAGCGGAAACGTGGAGGAACGTCGAGAAATAGTTTCTTAGAGTTTCCTGCGGGCGAAGGCGTTTGGATTCATGAGGAGGAATCGGAGGAAAGGAGTAGTTGTGGAAGGATGAGGCTGAGGGCTTCTTCAATATCTGCATCTAGGAACAGACTGTGGTGATCTTAGTGGCACATAGCGACATCCGCAGGCTATGGGGCAAGCATTTGAGGGATGTCTCACGTCAAATCTGGAAGAGAACACCCTTCAACCGATGGTTTGACGAAACACATGCGGCAAGGGTCATAATGTTGTCATGAGGAATGATACGAGTAGGTGGGGTCTGGTCCCCAGACCCTCACAGCGGGATGCAGCGGGTGATAATGATCCCAGCAGCAGCAGCAGCAGCTGCAGCTTGCAAAGCTACAGTTCGGGGCCGTACGAGCAAGCTGCACTGGTTGGACCATGGGGCCCTCAACTGGGTCCTGAAACGACAACCCATGACAACCCGGTGCCCTTTCGATGGCGGGGTGCCCTTGATGAGACAGACAGGACACAAGTGAGTAACGAGCCTGTGAATACATGACATATCATGACATATAACCCTACAAACCCTTAGAATCCTAGAGGGGATCACAGTGGACTTGCGGAAAGAGTAATTTCCAACTAAACTATATATAGTAGACTATTGTATATTACAGTTTAGCTTGGGGTGGAAATTACTCCGCCGGAATTCTATTGGGAAAGAGACGTCATGTCAATGAGTTCTCGAGGGAAATTGTTACCAAACGTTCTTCCTCCTGAAGTATGTTTAGTTTAAACCTTCACTTGGGATATCTTGGGGATGATTGAACTCACTGACTCGTTCACTGACTCGTTTGTTCACTGTGTTCGTTCTTCAACCACTCTTCGGCACGAGCGAGCGGATGCCCAGGAAGAATGCATGAGCGTGGACGTGAAGACCTTGCAAGGTCCGCTCAAGGTCCGAAACCCCCGGTGGGACCGAGGGACGTGACGGAGATCACGTCCGTGCGAAGGGACGTCTATATGTTTTGTGTATGTTTCTTTTTGTTGTTTGCTTGTCCTTGTTCCATGAGCGAAGTGGTTCCAGAAAACACATCTAAGTTAAGTACAGTAACAATAACAATGTCGAACAATGTATTATGTCAGAGTCAAAGCAGATTTGACAAGATAGACATGTACCAGGACCTCAGCCCTTCGTTCTTCACATCCTGGGATCTCCTTCACACGGTCAGCTTGTTCCAGTTCACCTGGTGATCAGCAAGTTCCGTGTCGTGTCTCGTGGTTTGACCTCTGGGCGTGTCTCGTGTCGTGTCTGGTGTCTCGTGTCGGGCTCCCTCGGGTTGCCTCGTGTCGACACGATCGAATGATTGGAGGGGCACCTGAACGGATCCACTATCGCGAGGAATGAGAAAGAGGTCGATCTGTTTTTCCTCAGGAGCTCGAGGTCGAATGATTTTTTTTTCTTGGGTCTCGTCATTGTTACTATAGCAGCTGCTTAAGTTCCTATTAGTAGCGATGGCCTCCGACCTACTTGCGATGGCCTTCACCTATTAATAGCGTCCTTGTTACTAGTCTTTTGCCACATACCATGAATTTGTTCAGTGGTGCCGCCTAGCTGCCTCGCTGAACCCCAGCTAAGTCACTAGGGAGCATGACTCTCCGCGGGATCACGTCATGCCGTGCTGTTGGAGTTGCCCAACGGAAAGCAGATAATCATCACCCCAAAGACCCAATAACTAAAGGTGAATCACCTGCAACGATTTTTTCGGGATTGGTTCCCCACGCAAATCCAACCGGTGAACAAATGGTAATTATAAACAGGTTAGCAATAGGTTAACCTTTATTTTGCAGGGGGAACTGAGGAGGTCAGCAGAACGATAAAGCCCTACATAGGTCAGCTTCTTGTGTTTGACCTCTGATTCGGAGAGAATGACTCGCGTGCCCCTTTTTCGGCCAAACTCGCACGTCTGGTTTTGGGTCACAGGATGAAGTGGCCAACATCTACAACTTGTGTCCGATCAGCTGCCTCAGCGTGAAGCAAACGAACCTTTCTGGCTGGCTCCGGATGGCCGCTTGGACGAGACAGGCCTGGACAGGTCCAGGTGGGGATAGGTTGGGGACTGGGAACTGTGCGTGGGTGAGAATGGACGTTGACTGGTTCTTTTGGAGAAGATGTTGGAGACTAAAGTCAGGCTAGCACATCGATGATGGACTGCCTAGAACATGTAGCCTTAGCCCAAAGTTTGGGCGGAAAAGAAATCGAAATGGCAATTCAATCTGTTGTTTCGAAAGACGTGGTTCTTTTCCTCCAAAACAGACGCACCCCCCATACTTAAGCTTGTTTGCTTTTCTCCCCTGAGTGGGGCACAAGAAGTGGTAGAATAGTATTTGTACCATCTATAGAAGTCACTCTACCCTAGCCTAGAGGACCTGTGTGTAGACATCTATATATGACATGTGTAAAATGGTCATGGTAGGTGCATGTCTATGTACCATGATATCTCAAAAAGACTACACAAAACACATGTATCTGTATTAGCATCCATTTGCCCTCCATATCGGGTTGTTGGGGTATGCTTTGAAGCTTCCGGAAGACTTGGTTTCTTTCCCTTTTGTGATCCTTTGAGTATCGCAGTTGGTGTGAGACACGTCTTCGGATGGATCCAGCAGCCAATCAGATCCAGGTGCTGTTTCGGGGTCCAAATTGAAAACAAACATCGTGCAGCGGTGAGCTCTTGGTTCAAACATTGGGACTGGCACACCTGCCTCAACGTGTTCTTGTCCCAATTGTGGTATTAGATAGGTGGGGAAATAGGTGAATAGTATGTGACTCAGGAGATCCAGTTACCACCGAAGCTGGTCACCAGTGGTTCCAAGGACTATATAAAGCCATATAAGACCATAGCAAACCCTGGTTCCTTCCATAGTTGGGCTGGGATCCACTGGGTCATAGTATCCCTTCGATCGGTGCCCCACACCTAGCGGGTTTCAGAGGCACCAACAACGAGAAGAATCGAGCCAAGTTTCTTCGTCAAGCTGAGGATATCAAGCCAGCGGATGACAGCAGCGTGAAGGTTGCCATGTTGACATTAGCAACTGGGCGATGGCAAAAAGTTGAGCAGATGTCCTGGCACATGTCGACCTCAAGGATTGGGCGACCACAGGCTCCTTCTTTTTGTAGAGGGTCTCCGAACCCAAACACACCACGTATGACGCAATTGCCTACATTGAATCAGATTTCGTTGGTTCGTCAAGGTCTGTAAGTATTCCTAGCTTATGGATTGTTCTTTGCTTTGCTTTTTTGTATTGACGTGGATGTAGACCAGTGACATCGACACCTTCCGCCTTTCAGGAACCTGAGCAGCGCACGAGCGAACGCCGCGAACGGCCGCGACGTTCGGCCGAACGTGGCCGCGAACGTGGCCGAGGATCTCATCGAGCCAGTTCTTCATCGAGGTGAGGCGCTGAAGCAGTTTCACTCCAACCTCTCCCGGTTGACGGACTCTTGGCCGGGTGGTTGAAGGAGCCATTCAGACTCATTATGCTGTATTTTTTTAAGTAGGAAGGAGCCAGTTGCCTAATGGCTATGGCGATATTTTGCGAAGCATTGCTTTGACAGCACAAACTCTGGTGGTTCTAATCTACCCTGGGTCGGTAACTATGTTGCTTGCTTGTGGTGATTCCTTGTTTTCCCTTTGGGAGGAAAAAGGGGGTTGGTGGCGTGGAGATTTCAGGTGCTGACAGGTGTCAAGAGCGGGGGCATGAGCGCGCAATGTAAATATGCGGATGGGTCAAGACTTGGAGCCCCAACTCCGCTTCACCTTCCAGGTACGTCAACCCAAGGTAGACCTGCAATGTATAATATACATCTTTTGAGTCAGCTCTTACATCCTTCCTACGTCGTCCTGAAGATTTCTGAGAACAAACATGTGAAAGCCCAGCAGCAGCAGTAGCAGCAACAACAGCTCCAGCAGCTCAACAGGCCCCTGAAAAGGTCCGCGCTAGACACCTCTCACAGTTTTTGCAGTTGACACGCCTTCATGTTTAACGTCCCTGTGGTTTGAGCGTGCTTGGAGTTTAAAGGAGATTTAGAAGCGGGCCCCCATGGAATTGCGATGAGTGCACCATTTTGGGAAAAGACTTTTTGGAAACCAACCATATGAGGATGGGTCAAGACTTGGAGCCCTGGTCCTTCATGTAGCTTCACCTTCCAGGTTCGTCAACCCAAGGTCAACCCAGGGTCTGCTGATTTTGACCCACGGTCGTCTCCTGATCAATCAACATTCGGCCCTTCCTCGATCAACTGGTCGTCTTTTTCACTTGCCATACTGTACGTCAGTGCCTTGTTGGAGATTGTTTGCTGTCAGAAACAGGACGATCCAACCAGCCCTAGGACGTCGAAGGTGTATTGATCAGCATATTGTACGTCCCATAGGATCCATGCCTGGTGCAAACAGGATTCGATCAGGGCTAAATGAAACCTATGTACAGTGTACAGTGTATATCAAAAAGCATCCATGTTTATTCTGTTCAAATACCGTTCTTAAGACTTCATCACAAAGACCGTCAAAGACCTGTCTTTTTGCCTGTGTGGGTGAGGACTAAGGACGACTTCAGGATCACCAGATCTCAACACCTGGTTAGGCTTAGGTTAGGGATGGTTAGGGTATGTTAGGGTGATTTATTCAATATTAGGTGAATCCACTTGAAGAAAACTGTATAGTTTTAGTATTGATTTGTTTGTTTCAACCAATCCAAGCTAAAAAGCCAGCCCCGTCTCGCTTTCGACCCTTAGCTTATTAGTCTTGCGGAGTGAAGGCGTGGGATCCGTAGGACCGACAACCGTGGTCTCTGCGCTTAGAACCGATTCACTTAGATACAACCCAAGTGGCGCGAAGATTCGTTTCAGTTGGCGCGGTCACGATGGATGGATGGAAGAATGCCCACTTTCCGCCAAGGACCACTACATTTGTATTTTGCGGCATGGTATTTTCCCCGGCGTCTCTTGGCAGAGTGATCGCGGGTTGCAGAGATGCCTTACAATGAAAGACCCAACTGTTGATAGAAGTATTCCCAGACATGACAAATGGGACTGGAAGATGTTACCAACCCATTTGGTCCCTTAAACCCAACCACCCCAACGGTTTAGCAGTGCCAGGTGCCAATCCCAGACAGGTGGTGTGACTGGGTGTCTGGGAACTCTCATTAGAATGCAAGAAGTTACCTTGCTTGGGTGAGCATTGGCGACTGTAGTCATGGAACATCTTTAAATAACTTCTTTTCACGACCTGGACTGTGTGTCCAGCCAAGTGAGCTTGACTGTCCAACCGGCGCTCTTAGACCCTTACTATATAGTATCCCTTGTTGTCCTTTTGGTATGGAAAGGATGTCTTACTAAACCACGGTTAAGCCCCAAAGAACCAGCGATCTGATCTGTGTCAATTGTGTTCCTATCAACTTGAAAGAGTGACAAAAGTGGCTCATCAGTCACTCATCCAATGTACCCACAAAAACCCACAACGTTTATGCAGCATGCACGTTTAGGCTGCGGGTATTGTTCTCTTTGCCCGCACGTTTGGATGGTTTTCTGCCTCGACACGGCCAGCTGGCAGGCTGCGATCCAACAGTCAGGATGGGTTCGGCAACACGTTTGGTGGTTCATTGATGGGGTTCATCACATCGGATCGATTTTTCAGGCCATGAACACTTGCCATGGCCAACTATTGACCCGTTTTCATCCTGTTAGGTCAAACACCTTTTCGAAGGTGGGAGTTCGCATAAAGAGAGACGTCGTAGTAAAGTCCAGAAAGACATGACCAGGGGTCTGACCAGGGTCTGACAAATGTATTTAAACTACATTTAAACCACACACATGCTCAAGAGTACAGGATAGTACAGGAACATCAATTTTTGTAAAGAGGCCCCACCCTTGTTGACGCTTGTGTTTGGACTTGTTTCATCCGGTGTCCTGAAAACGAGAAGGTCCGGATGATGTCTGACCTACGCCTCTGACTTCCAAGTCTGGATAGCACATGACTGTTGTAAAAACTCTCCGTCGCCGCCACCTGGACATCCTCCACTTTCATCAGTGCCAGTACCTTCATACCTTTTGCTGCCACCAAATCTCCCAAAGCCGGGTTCTTCTGTCCATTTGCAGATGGCTGCGATCCATTTTTTCAACCATTTGCGCATGTTCTGCGCGTTTTTGGTGCCCCATTTGCACGTGTTCGGGGAACAATGACCTCAAGCGTGATCGCTCCATGGATGGGATGGAGTGCTGGGCTCTGCTGAGGTGCCACCCGAAGTGATCTGGCTCATTGCCTGTGGTTGTCAGAGGAAGCACTATTTGCCCAGGGAGACCTTGGCCTCTCGACACTCGTTGTTTTTGCAGAAAACAGACAGAGACTCCAGTTTGAGGTCATGAAGGGCTCAGGGTCTCATTTGGGTGCTCAGATCACATCACATGTTGAGTCCTAATCATCGCCATCACTGGCCATCACCCAAACAGGGGATGTCCTGGTTGCCAAACCCACCGGCAAAAAGCTCGTTGCATGGGCCAAGACTTGTTTATTTCAGACATGTTGCTATCATCAGTCACAGAAGAATTGATAAGGTTCCAGCCACATCCGAAAAGAAGCTGGGGCCGACAGACGCTCCAGTCACCCGCTAGTACTGAATGAAACGCACGGAAAGAAGGCAAGACCAGGTCCTGGCCGCCCGGAACCCAAACTGTATTGAACAGATGGGGGTCAAACCAACCGGCTCTTGATCTGCATGTCCCACTCTTCATGTCCAGCCTTTGGCACAGATAGCTTCCGGGTTCCGGTTCTTCTCCCCTCGGTTCCTCGGTTCCTCGACTCTCCCGGAGTGGTGGGTCGCGCGTTCGCGCGGGTCTCGCGACCGGTCTCGCGCAGGTGGAGGAAGACGACCTGGGTGATGTCGCGGATTGGCTGTTCGCCATCAACAGCGGCAAGGCGCCGGCGCGCGAAGTGAAGGTGTTGGGCCCGGAAGAATCCCTCCGAATCCATGGTGGGCGTGTTAAAGGGATCTCCCAAACGTGGTAACGACCCCCGTGTGGTCGCGAAACGGGAAACAGACTCGTGTACCCAGAAGGGGATCTACCCAGAAGGGGATGGCTATGTTAGATGGTTGGCCCAATGTACCTAGAGGATGGCTGGTTGAGAAGCCATAGTATCAAGATAGAAACCTATTGCAGAGGTAAAGCAATGTGCAACATGTTTAAATTAAGAGTAGTGAGTGGTACTACCTGTTGTCGTGATGTAGACCTACTCCAGGAATATGACAAACAATGTGGGATCATTGACCTCTGAATTGTGGATTGCGAAAAGTTCTTCCTGCGCAGTTTCTATTTTATGTATATACATGGGAAGGTGCCTGCCTGATTGCAGGTGTGTTCGACTGTTTGTTGGTCTCAAAATGGGCCGAACGTTTTGGGAAGTGGATAGCAACATAATACAGTACAAGCGAAAACATCCAACAACATGTAGAACATGGAAAGCTTTGGAATACATGAAAGTGTTAAATTTTCTCACAGCATAAATATGCATACATGGAAACGCATGTTTTTGAGCTAGGGAGTGCAAGAAGAAGTCCAACCATGTTCTTTGTGGCCAGCACTAGCCCGGTGGCATCAACCATCTCATAGAATCCCCCTGGCAGCTTAGCGACTCAGTCCATGCGGACCCACCGACTCTTGAGCACTGTTTCTGGACCCTGCTGCAATGTTCAATGTGGCCAGGCCGATGTCGAAAAGTTGTCCTACAACGGGGAGGAGGCAGTACCACAGCTGATTGGCACTCTCACGGAGGGAGCTGTGCTAGGAGACGTGCCATGGCTGAACCGAACCTGCAAAGCGAGCGAGCTTCGGGAGGATTGGCTTGGGCTTTTCGTTATTTGTTGGGGGATTGTCCAACCGTAGCAGGGATACAATAGACACAGAATGGAAGAACCAGCAAAGCCGGAAATACCGTTCGAACTGGCCCAACATGTGGCTCAGTGGCATTGGTACGAATTGGCTGATGAAATGGGTCCAATCCGGAAGCGGACTGTTCTCAAATGAGTCCATCTATCAACCCTTTTCCCCTTCAGTGCGCATCCATTCTCATCAACCAACTTGGTAAAATCCGGTAGCCACCATGAATGTTAGAGTGCGTCATAATCCATGTGTGTTTCTTCAACACACTCAGGAAGAAAGACATGTAATAGTATAACCCAGAGAGTCCCAGGGGTATCCTTTGCACGTGCTTAGACTTACTGGGATAATGTATTCCTTTTCTTTCTTTGCCTAATTTCACCAGTTCTTCAGTCCATCCGCAGTGGCTTCGCCGCTGGGTCTCCGATTCCGCCCTCCCTCCGCCGAGGTTTGCTTCTTGCACGGCGGGGTCCCTCGCGGCGCGACGGTGCGCGCCCAGACGGAGGTGGATGCCATTGCCATCCCTCCCAGTGCCACCCGGCGAAGCTGAGAACGTGGAGCCTTTATGGATCGGACCGGACTGGAGCTGGTCTTACCAACAACACGACGTAACAGGAGGTTTTTTACTGGCATCAGGCTGGACCTGTAGGGTAGTCAGGTGGTCTGGTCTTACCAACAACACTACGAACCGGAGGCGTTCAGGACCAGGTTTTACGGGGGGTAGGGAGGTTGAAGGACGGTCTTTTTGTTGACACACTCCTGGTGAGCGAATGCAACCACGATATGACTCATGGTAGCTAATGATGGTGGCTGTGGTGTTGGACGTAACACCCCTCTTCATTGCGCAAGACATGTGAAAACCGCACAGTGACTTAACATGGAGGTATGTGAAGCATTGTTATGCTAGATCTTGCCCATCCACATCCATCCACACTTATTCAAAAACAGAACAAAAGACCTTGGGATAGATCCTGTCCCGCTCTGGATGAATCAAGGCCTAGTTGGGGCTCCACAAACCGAAAAGGAAGGTAGTTGGGGTGGGTGCCAGGTCGCGGAAGGGGGCGTGCCGCCCTACAGACGTGACCGTGAGGGGCTTCGGGGCCATCGCCGTGAGGTGATTTTGGATGCTTTGGCGCTCTACCCTGGCATCACTGGTAGCCCCTTGGTGTATGCCGTTCTACACTTCGCTGGACTCTTCAACCTGTTTTGTAGAGAATGTCATCATCCGAACTCGGAGCCATTTTCCCATCTACGTTGGCCCATGATATGACTCGAGGGGGTGACCCATTCGTGCCGGTTGAGCAAATCGTCCTGGAAAGTGCTGGGCAGATCGCCCTTACTTACTTGGTCGTTGCTTGATGCTCACCTGCAAGTGTGGACAATCTAGAAAGTGGAGAACGTGTCATTCTGTCCAGGCGTGTTCAGCGTCCGTTAAGTGGATCAAAAGACCTATATAGATCAACAACTACTGCCAAAATGGCTTGCGCCTCAAAATTAAGGCCTTGCCAAAGCATGCACGGTGTATCATTGAAGTTTTTCCCTTCTGGTTGTTATCCTAAGCAGTGTTTTCCTGGTTCTCGAAATCTTCCACCATCACTCTTGGAAGGGCGGCGACCTTAGATTCGTTAGGGAATCAGGGAGCGGAGCAGCACCCTTTCACAGGATTGGCCAGGATGTTTTTCGGGAATTGGCTTCTAAGCAGCTACCCTCCTGCCCAAGCTACGCTCTTTTCGATTGGATCTTCCGTGAGAGCAACCAGCTAGCAACCCTCAACTTGACGACTGATGTTTAATGATCTTTGGACCATTCACCTAGCCAGTCCGATTGAAACTCTTGGGGGGATGGGTTTCTGTACTCAAGGTTGAACCAGTGGTGGCCAGGTCAATACCTCTATTGGAAGTGAAACTGAAGGGGTCAGTCGCAACTGAAGGGGTCAGTCAAGAGATGGATCATTGAATCATACTGAATCTGGGATATAACTTCCCCCCAAAACAGCAGCGAACACTTGAATTGCTGGCTACACCCTCACACCTGACCCGCGTGTCGTGTTCGCATGTTTGCATGGAGCAAAGCCCTGCCAAGACTCAAGGCTTTATGGGTCGTTTGCGGGAGATTGTGGCTAGGCTGAACGGCGGATCGGGGTCTTTTGGGATCTTTTGGGAGTGTTTTCTTGTGGCAAAAAAGATCACGGCCTGAACCTGGACCCTCCAAAGTACCTTAGAAAATGGGACATGACCGGCATGACCGACATAAAGAACAGGTACGACTGTACCCATTGAACCCGAGGTACGAACGGGTCGACTCCAGGAAGATTCCAATGGAGATCTTTGGAACACTTCTTGGATTTGGAAAAACCATATCACTGGACATCACTGGAAGGTTTTTTGGGCCCCCAAGTCAAGTCTTCTTTGGGCACTGCTTTTGGGCACCGGCAAGGAAGGCGAACTATGGCCTACAAAAACTCCCGCTAACTTGTTGTGCTTTTCTTGCCACACGTGTAGGCGACCCAACCGAACTTGCTTTCAGATGGTTTGCAGTAGTTTCTGGGTGAGTCCTTCGGTTTTTTTTGGGGTGAAGCATTAACTCCCCCTAGAAGACAGAGTCTTAAAGAGTTCCTTTGCCCGACATACAAATCCAAAGATTCATTGAAGTTCTCCTGATGCTGGGATGTCAGCTTGGAACTTGGAGGCTATCCTGGGATTCATGTATAGATTTATATACCACGATTCACGCATGTCTTCACGTGTCCTATGCCATGACCCCTTACGCTGGGAGTCGCTTGCGCAAGGGTCACAGACTTCTCGTGTAAATAGGTTGCAACCATGGAAGTTCTGGCACTTGACACACACACACACACACACTTACACACTTGCACACATCCACACACAGACTTACACACACACTCACTTACACCCGCACACACACACACTCTTGCAGACTGATGCGGTTTTTTGTTCTCCATCCAGGTGTGGCTGTCACTGCACCACCTCCCCACTACTCCATCCTGCTGTCCAAGCGCCTGCGGCCCCCTGCGAAACAAACGCGAATCGCCGTCGCCTCGCCAAGGTCATGCAACTGCAAGGCTCCCTTCCGCGACCCGCCCAGGCACTCAAGGCCATCGAAGGGAACGTACCCGGCCCGTACCCGCGTGGGAGGAAGGGGGGAGCTTCTTCTCGAGAAGCGTTGAAAAAGTTTAGTGTTTTAGGTTTTTAGTTGTTTATTTTTTCAGGTTGGCCAGGGAATTATTGAGCCTTATTGTTTTTTGGAGGTCCACAGGCAAACACCTTAAGCCACTGTAACCTGTTTAAGTTTAAACAATTTGCTGATGAGGCTGTGAAATCAACTTTTAGCCGACCACTCATTGTTAACCTCATCTTAAGTCCTATAGCATCTACATTCCGGCGCCCCCTGCTACTAGCACTCACAGGGTCATCCGACCAGTCGACCCCGTTTCCAGACGTACCGAATCGGCTAAAGCCACGCGGTCGACCGCGACGCAGGGCATGCAGATCTTCTCCTCTTGCGACCTTCCCTTCCTACGGGCGGTGGCCAGCGTTTCAGAGCGCAAGGCCAGCGTTTCCATGGTCGAAGAGCGGCGCTGCCGCTAAAAGCCGCTGATCTCGTGGTCATGCCAACGTAGTTTAAGGTCTTCCCAGTGCCAGATGATTTGGACTGTGAACTGTTCAAATAAAAATGGAAGGACTTCCCAGTTGAACTTCTGATTTGGAGGTGTTCTTCTAACCTGTGGACTTTGGGATTTGTTTGATCAGTTGGTCCGGGCATCTTCCGGCCGACCGGACTGCTGACTGCTGACAGTCCCAATGGACTGGAGCTGCTTTTGTGGGTCCTGAGGGATGCTGAAAGGTGAGCTTCCTGATAGATCCAGGTCCTACCCTCAACACAAACAGATGCCAAACATGGTGACCAGTGAGTAATATTTGTTGGTCCTGTTGCCAGGCCGCAAGCAACATACGGGCAGTGTTTCACTCTTTCACTTCGCATGGTTCATCCTTCATCTGGCACGCTGGGCAATGGTCATCATTTGTCAGCTCTCTTTGGTTAGCACATTTGAATGGCATCATTGGATAGTTTTCTTCAAACACCGTCAAGAAGGAAGCAGCATGAAGCAGCTAGGGGACGCCATTGGCGTCAATGCTTGGATCTATGTTTGAACAGGGGTTTGTAGGTAAACATTCCAGAGGAGTGTTTGGGATGAACATATATATACACATAATACTTGAAGTCACCACCTGTAGGTAAAATGGAAGTACTCGAAGTATTTGGTACTTGTATATTTGGATATACTGATATACTTTCTACAATATATTATATCTAATATACTATAAATACTGGCTAAGGAGATATCCATCAAGAATCCTTTAAGTTCCAGTGGCATCCTGGAGAGACACAGCTTCGCGTGACGCTTGTGGGAATTAGCAAATTTCAACACCCAAGTTCCCAGTCTACATCAAATCATGTTCCCTTCCGCGGAACATGGACGATCACCTTCGCATATTCACACCGCAATCTCTTCGGCTTCGGCTTCCCTAACAAAAAAAGACCGCAGCCCGCGAGAACCGATGCCTAAGAAGAGCGCTCTTCGAGCAGCATGGAAGAACAGGGGCGGAATACCTATCAGATCTGGGTGTGTAGCGACATCGGAGACCTGTCGTGACTTCCACCGGGCCTGACGTTCCGACCCCCCGTAGGTTCGCTCCAGTTTGCCCCGCCTGCGAACGAAGGGATGGTTTCGGGGTGCCCCTGAGTTCAATCGTGCCCACCCTGTGACATACGGAGTCTCCCGGCAGGTCTTCTTTGCCGGTGATGCCTGCCGCGAGGAGATGAGACCCTTTTGTGAGCGATCGTCCCCATTCAAACCCCGATTCCGCGCCGATGGAAAAGAGCACGGAACGCAGAAAAGAAGGAACCGCTTGTGCCCGTGTTTTTTTTTTGGTTCGACGCCTCAAATGCATGAAGAATCCCTGAAATGAACCTTTGGAAAGACAGTTCTTCCTCTACAACCCCAGTGGCCTTCAGGTCCTATACGACATTGTATGACATCCATATCCCTAGACATGGCGTGCGCATCTCTGCGCTGCATGCTGCCTCATTCTGGTGCTCGATCGTGCTTGTTCCATGCTGGTGCTCGGAAAGTCCCAACCCCTTCCTCACGGGACTGGACATCTTCTCAGAAGGTGATGTGTTCGACATGTAGGCGCCATTGTCGGGTCCAATCACCTTCGAAAAGAGGGTATGTGGATCCTTGGGGATTTCTCTTCAGAGCAGCGGATGAAATATGGGTCTCCAGCGATTCAGCTTCCATATGACATGTCCTTCAGCTCTTTTTCTGGTTCCATGTGGGTCTCTTGGGTCGCTCTTGGAGTGTCTTAGACGGAGCAGAACGGCCACGCCAGGAGGGCGTTCTCGATGAGACCTTGCGCGTCATCGAGTTCGGCCGCTGTCGCGTGGAGAGTCGGCAAGGCGGGAATGCGTCGGAGTGGGTGGGCTGAACTGACCCCTGAAACACCCAAGTATGGACATTACCCCCAAAACGATGTTTCACTTCACTGCTCAGGAACCTCATACAACCCAACGGCTCACAGGGGAACTTGATACGAACCATGTGTGTGTATATAATTGTTGACTTATTCAGGACCAGTGTTTTGACTTGTCATATGGATCTCATTTCCAAAGCTAGCTGATGCTGTCTGACCAAAACCGTTGACCCGATGTCTTCCCAGTTAGACGTTTGACCAACGTGTGTTGCCCTGCCCTGTCTGGGTGAGAACAACTTTTCTCTTCGGGTCTGAACATCTCGAGGCTGCGTCCAGTATGTCCGTGTGTCCCAAAACTGCATTTCAGTACAAACACAACACAAAACAGGTGACGTTCATGTTGAAAGAACACCACGAACCCCCAGGGCCAAGCTGGTTCATCCCTGGTTCCTTATGTGGTTACTGGGATCCACTGGGAACAAATAGCAGGTGACGGCAGCATCAAGCGCCACGGCTATTGCGACGTGGGCACCGTGCTTGGGGAACGACGGTGCCCTGGCGAGCGAATGGTCTGGTTCGGTGGATTGGAGCGCGAGCGAATGGGATTGTCCCAGTTAAAGGAATGAAGCCTCCTAACTTCTGGGGAATATTTTTGTTATATTTTTTTTTTTTGCGTGGTTCCTTCTTAAGCCTCAAGCAAATCCAAGCCTTATCCAAATTTCAGACCATTTTAGTTCATCTGATGCCACCTGAAAAAGATAGAATAGAAGTTAGAAGCATGTAATATAGGTGCCCCTTCACATGTACCTTTGTCTTGCCTTACCAAACTCCCATTTGGGGACCTCTATGGAACCACTGCAAAATCATCCACTCATCGAATGGTTTGTTTGAAGCAACCAACCAATACTATCAGAATTATGTGCGCTACGAAGCCAACACCGACTTACTATTTACGTGTAAGAATCCAAGACAAAGTGCTACAAAGAAGTGCTTGCAAGGAGCACAAGGAGGGGTAAAGTAGACGTACATCATATGTATATAGTAGTTACTTTGTGTCTTCCCATGTACATAGCGTCACAGTGTTGCCCTGGGATCACAGGAAAGTGCATGTTTCTTCAGATCACGTTCGGGGCCCACTGGGGCGTCTGCATAGAATTAGTTATATTGTAAGCTGATTCTTGGCAAAAACATGCAAAAAATATCCATTATTTATTCATTTGCTTCATATTCAATCAGCTTAATTTTGAAGACTAGGTACCTCTTGACATCCTTTGACCGCGCAGTGAACCTGCGACGTGGGCTCTTTTGCACTCCAGGAGCCCCCAAATGTTCCTAGACCGTCTCCAGGCAGTCAAACAGGCAGCAGCCAGACCCGGGTTTGCCCCAAGGGTGAGATCGGTGTCCGACTTGCTCACCGTGCCACTTCACGCAGCTACTACTTACTCACTACCTCCAAAATCCGCGCCTATACTCAAACCTCCCGCGCACTGCGCGCGTACTGACTGCGCGAGGTTCTTCAACATGCCTCCCAAATGGCCAGACGCCAGCTTCCGGATCGCCACTCCTTTAGCCTTATTGCTCTTCATCCCCAGGCACGGGACGGGACAGACCGATGGACAGGGAGTGGACGGTCGACTGGACTTGTGTTTCGTGGCACGAGCCCAAAAAGGGACGTGGAAGACTTGGGGGACAGATGTTTGTTGTGTTTCTTTTTTTGAATTTCAACTCTTCTACCGAAGATGGAGCGGAAACCACACCAGCCATCTCCCCAGCCCATGTCGACAGCCTGGTGTCCTTTGAATCACTCCCGTTGGATCGTCCTGATCACTCCCGGTCTTCGAGGCAATCCTTCAACGGGGTCCTGGAGAACTACCCCTCGGAGCAGCAGCGCTTCAGATTGGTCAAGGCGAAGAAGCACCGAATTCATGTGTTTGTTTCTTTTTTTTTGTGAAGACATGGTGTGAGAACAATTGGGTCAGATTCGGGTGGAATAATTTGGACTCTTGATTCATAACCCCTCCCCAGACATGGATTGCAAAACCTCTTCATTCTTCATAGATTTAAACAGTATATAATATAATATAATGTTTAAATAAAGAGTTTACATTATAAATACCATTTAATCCTTTCGATTAATTAGTTTCTCTTCTTTGAATGTGAAGACGGATGTGCTTACGGCAAGATTTCGTGAGTAAATTTGAGACAAGGCTAGGCAGGTGAACCTTGGTGAGGCTAGGCTAGATGTGTGGAGCGCTCCGGTTCATGCATTTCAGTTCCTGCAATTTGAGTTCTAGAAAGGATTGATTGTGTTGTGCTTATATTTGAGGCTTGGAACTAGCGGGGTGACGAACAGTATGGTCATCAGCTGTCGAAACAGTATGTTATTTATTTTCTGCATTCGCCATGCGACATCCACGAGAGAAAGACAGTTTGAACTCGATTCCTTCTGGATCATCCAATGGAGGATAATGGAGGTCCGTAAGCAGGGTAGGGTAGTCTATTGGACATTGGATGATCCTGGTCGGATTAATTTACTGATGTATGTGTACTGTAATTCCTGTTGCTGACACCCAGCCATACCCCTTCAAAAAATGCAGTTTCTTCTTATCAAAAAACTGCAGACTGTGTTTGCCTTCGCCGATCTTTGTGATGGCAGCAGTGGATCTTCACGATCTTCACAAAGATCTTTGGTTTCTAGGAGCAATAGAAAAGTCAATATTATAGATTCTAGCTCACGCAGCCACGATAGTGGTTCTCCCCCTGCTAAAGCGACACCACTACCACCAGGTGGGTGTCCTTTGCGATTTGCTGGGTGTTCCAACCCTCCGTTCAATGCTTCCTGGACCAGACGTCACCGAGTCAAGTGGAGCAGCCGGACAGCCGGGAGACCCCGAAAATGCTTCGGAAGAGCTGCAACACACGGAGAAACACACGCTTCGACCCAGTCTCATCGGTCAAAGACCCGGAGAAACACTCTGACAATTGTATTCAGTTAACTCAATTCCCCGAGGAAAGGAATGGCTCAACGGTAAGGTGAGGAGTCCGATCAATTGAAGATGTTTTAACAAGTGGTTTGTGCACAACTGCGGCGACAAGCTGCAAAAAGCGCGGCTGCTGAAAGTGGCTGAGAAACCTGTTTGGGGGGAGGTAGCATGAAGAACCATGAAAACAAAAAGGGAAGATTGGACAGCGCGAGCAACAGTTTCTGGCAGGTACACGGTCAGACGTCTCTGACCGCATCCCATGACATCACTAGCTTCGTTGGCCAGCGTCGTGATGTCATGCGCTGGACCCCTGCGGGTGAAACTGTGGTTAAAATTGCGGTGGGTGAGGTGGCGGTAGTGAAGCCTTGGCCAGTTGACACACACAGGTCGCCGTCATTGAAAAAAGCGGTGGCAGGCTTTGTGGTTGTGTCCTTTTTGGACATAGAGCCTCACTAGCTGTAGTAGGGTGTTCATGCACATCGAATTAAACTGTTGGAAACTCAGGTCGGATTGCTTGAGTGCATATGTAAGATCATGCGGAAAAACATGCAGAAAAATGCAAACGCTGCAAACGTTGCTACACTGTCCCGTGGTTAGGCCCGGCGGCCGTTGTGGCAGTTAATTCGGTGGATGTGGAGGTGACTTCCAGTGGAGTTCCTGTGAAAAGTGGTGAGGTCAGTTAATGCTTGCACGATGAGACAGCGCCCCAGTGACGGGGATCACACTCAGCACCCGAGTGGGACGGCTGAGCGAAACACACTCTGACAATTGTATTCAGTTAACTCAATTCCCCGAGGAAAGGAATGGCTCAATGGTAAGGTGAGGAGTCCGATCAATTGAAGATGTTTTAACAAGTGGTTTGTGCACAACTGCGGCGACAAGCTGCAAAAAGCGCGGCTGCTGAAAGTGGCTGAGAAACCTGTTTGGGGGGAGGTAGCATGAAGAACCATGAAAACAAAAAGGGAAGATTGGACAGCGCGAGCAACAGTTTCTGGCAGGTACACGGTCAGACGTCTCTGACCGCATCTCATGACATCACTAGCTTCGTTGGCCAGCGTCGTGATGTCATGCGCTGGCCCCCTGCGGGTGAAACTGTTGTTAAAATTGCGGTGGGTGAGGTGGCGGTAGTGAACCCTTGGCCCAGGGGTTGACACACACACAGACACACACTCCACAGACTCCCGGATTATGGTGGTTGACAATGGGACTCCCCAGCCTTTGTCTCATGAACTACCCCACTTCCCTGGGAGAGCGTCCCCTGCCCCTCCGACCAAACCAGGAGTCCAACAAGACGGACGGTGGCAATGCCAAGCGCGAGCATGATGCGGCCAGCCTCAGTCACCTGGCCGCCTGTGTTCATAGCGATGAGAACCGAAAACGGCGGAAGGGTCGTTGGAAGACCGAGAAATCCGCGGGGGGGGAGAGGTCACCGGACCGGACCTGGCAAGATCTGGCAGGTCATGGGGCAGCTTGGTGTGACCTTGACTAAAGTTCAAGCTCATATGTGATTTCAATGAGTTCGTTTGAACACCATGGGATTCTGCAAGTCAAGTCGGAATCTGTCGGCCTATTTCATCAAGGGCCGCCTGGCATGAGAGCATCACTCGGTGTGACTGGCAAGAGGAGCTCAAGTCTTACTCCTTCAACCCAAATTGGCTCCTTTGAAGAACGGTGAACAAGCCTCAGCTATCTCCGCTCTGATCCAGGCCAGCAAAAAAAATGGACAGTTACACTCTGAATCATGGCAGTGGAACATAGGCCCGTGGAAGATCATATGGCACTGCGAATGTGCTAGGTCATGGAAGGTCTTAGAGCCTCCTGCCTTCCACGGAAGGTCAGGTTCAGTTCGCAGAAAAACCGAGACCACGGCGGCCGCCAGTGCCTCACGAGATCGCTTCGCGATGCCAGTGCCGAGCCACGGCGGATCCCCTAGCGAGTCCAGGAGGATTTCTCTGGTGCGAAACTGAGATCTGCTGGAACAGGAGCAATGGGCGCCACCTGCGCGCCGAGGGCAAATGAGGAAACAGCTGAGTCTGGAAGCAAAGATATAGAGCGAGGATACTGAAGCCATTTGAAGCCCTGAAAGAGGCTGGGCTCGAGGTTTCAGCGGTCATCAGTCTTGCTTACGCATGCTTGCGCATGCTGTGCCGCAGCCGGTGCTGGAAGCACACATCAGTGCCAATCATCCGATGATTGCAACTGCACGAACCCGATCTGGAGCAGGATCGATGGGAGGATGAAATCATCTACTGTACTTCATGTGGATTGGTTCTCCATAGTTTGGTGAGTTGATGAAGTTACAGTAGCCCGAGGAATTCTTACATCCAGGTGTTCTTCTACCTACCCAATTGTATCTGAAACTTGCCTTGTTTTTTGTTTTCGCTTGTTTCAAGAGGTGTCCGGTGACCACCGCAGTGACTGGACTCTGGTGGTCCGCAGTGACTGGAATGCGTAGGGGACTCCGAACTTGCTGGTGGCCCAAGGTGAAGGCCTCATTTGTTTAAAGCTGCTTAGACTTGGGGTCGTTCTCGGGACTGCAATAGATTGAATATGATTCAATATGGTTGCTCCATTAGCTCAGTGTAGACTCTTGATAGTCAGCTGTGCTCTGCAAAGTCCCTACTTCATGGCGCCCTCTGTGTAGTCCTCCCTTCTCGCTCGAGGCATTCTACAGGGCTGTGGCCCGGGATTTCTGGCGGCCATCGCAGGCCCCGGAGTCCTCGAATCTTTCACGAGCTGTTTGAGGATAACTTATTGGAGGTTAGCTTCTTGCTCCTATAGTAGTTAAGGCCAGCCCCGTTCGTAGCGTCTGATCGCTCCGGACTCGTAGCGAATGGCCCGAGGGTTTGCTCCGGACTCGTTGGGAGAGTGTTCATACGGTTCATATAGGTTTTCCGTCTTCGGACGCTTGGACATGTTTGGACGCTTGGACATAGAGCGGTCTCTCCTGTCCCGTCGCTGCTTTTCGCTCGAGTTTGGGAGCCGAAGCAACGGTGGAGTTCACGACATGGTGAGACGTCGACTTGAGGCCAAGCGAGCTACTTAAAAAGAACAACTGGTTCGATCTTTGTTCTATGTGTCCTTGAGGTGAAGAGGGTGAAGAGAGTATTGGGTGTCCATTGCTTTTAGATGCGTCTCCAAGGTTTGGTGTCCTGTTGCGTGTCCCCAACTGACGTCGGTTCATCAGTAGTTAGTTCTCAGCTTGCAACACAAATATTGGGTTGGATGTTCACAGCAACAATCTCTTGAAGCATTCAGGATTCATGGACGTGTCAGCACAGAGACCTCCTGTTCCTGCTCTGAGCCCTCCCGCTCCTGCTCCCAAGCTTGCGAGCTCGGAGCTTGACAGGCTGCATTCGCACGGTGACCTACAAGATTGGACAGACGATCACCGTGCAGGGCGCCGTCGACTCGGGTTCCATGTGCCCCGGACGGGCCGAGCACGACGAGCCCGGGGCACGGGGGGGTCGGGTCGCACGGGTCACCGGTGGTGGAGCAAGGCCGGACGTTTCACCTGGCGGAGCGGAGAAGGAGTCATCCTTGGGTAGGTGAGCTCAGGGTGCGGGAGATGGGAGAGATGAATTGAGCTGGTTGGCTGGTTGAGCTCGATGTCAGAGATCGAAGTTGGAGCAGAAAGCCTTTGAGTCAATTCCTTTGAGTTGAGTCGGAGTTGTCTAGAGAGTGAGGGGTAGAGGGATCTGATGAATTGAGCTGGTTGCGTGCATATGCTTCCATGGTCTTCCTACTTCCTGCAGCTTTTTGCTGAAGTTCTTCGAGTGCTTTTCATTTGCCTGCAAAATACTGGGGGGCTGCTTTATCTCCAGCAGAAAACCGTCAAACACTTAGCAGTAAGGCCTTTGCCTCCATGCTGAAAACAGGTACATCATCAAAGGTGGCTCAGCAGAAGTCTATGTGAACCATCGCTTCGTCAAAGAGGCCCGGAACTCACGCTGGGATGAACACATGTGACATGCATTGCGTTGCGGCCTATCCTGCCAGGAGCTTTGTAACAGGTGGGTAGGTTGTTCAGAACGCAACATCTTCTGAGATTACCTTAGTGAATACATGTCGCTGAGCCAACAAACATCTGCCCGGACTCGTTAACGGGTCTGTTTGGACTCCCTTCCGAATTGGCACTTTCAACACCTGCGTGGCAGGTGTTCTTCGAAGGGGTCAGGTGACAGAGCACCGGTCCGTCTCGCGTGTTCGTCGTTCGCTCGCGCGAGGTCCATAGTGGCGAGTCCTTTGGAGAGCTGACCATCTTAGGCTTCGTGAAGCGTCGCTCTGCGGTGGTCCGCGCCAAGGAGAGCGGGGGGTGAGGTCGTCGCCAGGCCGAGTGGAGGAAGGGCGCACCGGGTGTGGGAGGTGGAGGCAGTTTTAAGGTTTGGGATCCACTATTATTGTATGCTTTGGAGATATAAGTACTAACTATACCCATGGTTTTTAAGAAGCGGATGGCCATAGGTGGGTCTATGATTTGGGTTTGGTGACCATTCTTCAAGCATAAAAAGCTGTCCCCCAAATGAGACCTCTTGAATGTCCAGTTGGAGGGTGTTGGTGCATATCACGTCCCAAGATGTCTTTAGATAGGGGTCCATAAGTGAGTCCAAATATAACATAATATACCACCTTTCGGGGATTGTGCCATCTACTCTCAGCCCACTAGACCAGTCAGGGCTTTGGCTCCCAAGTTCTGGGCATTCAGTTGAGCATTTCAGCTGGAAGTCTTGCCTACTTGGAGTCTGTACATCACAGGGTGTCATTAATTATTGGAAAGCATCCGTGTGATACGAATGTCCCACGAAAATGACTCCCCTTCTCGGAACCTGGGCCAGAGAATTTGTTCGAGGTAGAAGGTGTCATTTCTTTTTGCTGATGGTATCCGTTTCCAGCACACACCCATCTCTTTGTGTTTTTAGCCAACCAACCATCAACCTCTTGACTGTGATGCTTGGCTGAGAGCTTTGCAACGCAGCACTGCTTGGTAGAGACATCATGTGTTCAAGGCTGTACTTTCTTTGACCATTGCCAAAAAGCAGATATTTATCGATTTCACATAAATTGAAAACACGCACTTACACACACAAACACGTTACGCTTAGACTCGAGGGCCAAGAAACCCAGCAACATGCCGAGCAGTACCAAGTTGAAATTCAAGTCCACGCCCAGCGATCCGCTGCATCCGCTGCATCGCCACCCCTGGTGGGTTTTCGCTGAACCATGCCACGGTCGCGGGGCTCCACCTCAGCTGATCAAGAGGCGCTCTTTGAGGTTTGGCGCTCGGCAGTGGAGGCCGATGTGCATGGAAACACATCCATCCCCATCCCCATCCAGCAGGTGAAGGAGTGAAGGAGAGCACCTATGATCTCACTACTGTGCACCCCTTAGCAGAATTTGTAGACCTCAGACTGTTAGTCAGACTGTTATAGTTAGTTAGTGCAAGCCGATGATTGGATGGTTCACTGGAAGCAGCCCAGAAGAGCAAAACGCATGGAACGTTCGGAACATTTGAGAAGCTGGAGCTTGTTACCCCCCCCTTTTAGCAGTTCTACTCCTTTTGCTTCAAAAACACGAGTTGTTTGGGCTTGTTTTTTCCGAGTCCCAGCACCGGGGGGGTCCGAGTCCAGTCGGGTACACCGGGACACCGTCTCCCGAGACGTCTCCTAGCAACGCGACCGAGCAGCATGGCGATCGACCGGGACACGAGATCTGGGGCGTTTTGCCCAGTGATTCATTGGCTCTGAGATGTATTTTATAGATGTTATTGATGTATTTTTCTTTCACTAATTAGGGAGAGACGTTTGTTTGGCTTTGGGGTTTTGGACGGTTTTGGTCTGTTTTTGGTTCATTATTTAAAGAACCTTCCAGTTGCAGGGGGGTTGTGGCCTGGTGAATACTCTCAGTTACACATGCATATCTTCTTGTGCCAAGGGGTTTGGGTGGTTCATCGACCCTCCGAATCACCGAATCACCAGGGCCTATGACCATACCTCCTTATACAGGATAGCCCCAAGGTATTCCAAAGTTTCCCTGAGAAATCATCATGGTGACGTGGGGAGTGATTTCACCACCTGCTTGGAAGAGTTGCTCTGGTCGTCCATTTCCCCTTCCACTTCCGTAACGAGGTCCCTCAGGGAGTGGTGATGCTGTGTCTTCTCCTGTTTCGGTCCTGGAGGCCACACACGACTTCTTGCAGGCAGAAGATTGCGCAGCGATCTCCGAGCAGGTTCGCAGCTATGTGGCGACACTTGAGCTGTGGTCAGAAAAGAAAGCAGGGTTGGAGAAGCATGGTTCTTGCCTCTCTTTGGGAAGTTCTTCCTTCAGCCTTCAGTCGTTTCCAGAGGTTGTCATGGGGTGGTGATTGGAGCGTGTTCTTCGCTGTCATGGCGTGTCCATTCTCTGATTGAACTGGCCTATATATAATCTTTCTCCACCCCTTTGGAACTCCATATAGGAACTCATATTTTTCTAGGATTTTTTTTCGGCTTTTTTTGGGATTTTTTTTCACGTTTAGGCATTAGGTATCTCTGTTGGCTTCTGGTGGCTTCTGGTAGCTTTTGCTAGCTTCTGTTGGCTTTTGCTGGC